AATCGTTCAGCTGTATTTGATATTTAGAGAAATTTCATTTATGAACATATACTTGATCATTTTCAATAACATTCGCAAACTTCCAATTTTTTTCGGCTCCAATGGAATTGTTTTAAACTTCTCCTCGAAGGGGACATATTGCTGGCATTCGTACAATTTGTTCTTCTTGATAGCGCTTGCTGTGCATTTAGTTGTATGCTAGATAGTGATAGCGCTTCTAAAAAGCTTTACTTGACACTGTAGCTACTCATTCTTCTCCTCTTTCGAAAAAAAATAAACGTTGATGAAGTGGATGTGTTAGAATGAACCAGAATAATGAAACCCTACAACTCTTGCATTCATCCTCAAATCAAAAAGCTAAACGTTAACCAGTGCTTTTGTATTTCTTTCCAGCAGCAAGGTTTTTAGCTGTATCATCCCAGCATTGCAAAAGTAATCACGGAAATTCGAACCGAATATTTCTAGCGTTTGTATATGTAGTTGCTCACATTTGTGGCAAAGAATTACAAGTTAGATAAAAAGCGGCAAACGCTTGTTATTAATATTATGCACACTTAAGATTTGACAGTGGACATTTTACGACCTTTTGAATCCCTGGGAGTTTCTAAGACTTTGTGGAGAGAAGCGGAGCTGAACATCATTCAGAGTACTTGTCTTCATTATTCTAGTCGATTTGCGAAATCTCTTTCTTTTCAACCTAGTGTACAGTGGATGATCAAATTCCAATAGGTCAACGTGCATTCAGTTTTGGACATGACGAGTAGAACAAGTGTGAACAGTTTCATATTTATGCATTAGGTAAACACATCACATAGAACCACTTTATGTACAGTCTTGGGCATAAACAAGAAACAGTTGTAGCAATTCAATATAAGGAATGGAGGGATGTAAGTGCGTCTCACTGAGATCGTCAAGGTGTTTTGACCGTGCCATAAATCGTGTGTGTGCACTTATGCTAGGACAGCTAACCATAGTCTATAGTTAAGAATCATAAGAACACGTTGTTAGAATGCTCGTTGGTGTCTTCAGCTCTTCGCCATTGGCTAAACCTCTGACTTGAATTTCGCTGCTTTTACGGGAATCTTCACTAGCACTCGATGTCGGAATGGCTTGAGCTAGAGCAGAGCAGCGACATAGATTAAAGCATTTGAAAATGCTATAGCGACATGCGGCTAACAATTTGTGTCTTCAGAAGCTTTCCGTTTCTTTTCCTGCATCGGTTGATCATTTTCAACATCTTCGACGTATGTGTACCGCATAGCTGAAAGTAAAACGGATAACAACGAATAAATCATGAAAAATTCTTTTATTATGTCTTGAGTTTTGTTACACTTTCTTCGTCATTATTTGGAATTGTAAAATATCGCCAAAGTCTCATATTTGGCATATATGGGGAAGGGATCAAGTGCTATCTAAAGTACCGCCTTTATGGACATGAGTTACGGTATATACAGGGTGTCCAAATAAATGTGGACACTGTTTGATCGTTAATAATTCCCTTGCTTTCATGTCTTTCGCCGAGCTTTACGCACCACTCTGTAAAGCGAGGTTCAACTTAGATGTACGGTATGAAGCGAATCATCAATCGCTCCTCGTTACTGTATGATTACGGTAAAAACTTTCACCATGTGGAACCATTGTGAAATATGCCATAAGACACAATTTGTTTCAAAGAATCTGAAAAATCGTGTACTAGGGATTTCGCGCATGCTGATTCCACTACACAACTTTTTACGAGTGTTTTCAGCTTTTTTGACGGCGTAATCACATTTCTGACGAATGCTGGGAATTCACTTAACGGTTTACCTTGGATAACTTTGGAAAGAAGCGTCATAGTAAAGTGGAAGTTTCATATTCGAAATCCACGGCTTCCATTACCATAGTGAAAGACTTTTTGGATTGTTTAATTTTGTTCGAGGGTATAACCTCCAACGGCCTAAAATCCTTCTCGAAGTTCCTACCGTAATCCTACACTAACGAAGAGCGACCGTGATTCGCTCCAAACTGAAGATTCAAGTTGAACCCCGCTCTGCAGAATGGTGCCTCAAGCTCGGCGAAAGACAAGAAAGGGAGGGAAAGCAAGGGAGTTATGAACGATCAAACAGTGTTCACATTTTTTTGGGACACCCCTGTATATAATGGCATTTTTTAACAGCACTCCAACTCCATTTTTTGATTTCGTTAAAATTCTCTTGTTCTTCTCAACATTTTTGGAATCTTCATGGTCTTTTAGGAGTAACACTGGTGAAAGCGGTTCGGAAGCTTGTTTCAATAATGCAAGTTCAAAAATTGCCAAAATAAATCAGAAAAGTTTCAAAAAAATGATTTTTCATGTGTAACATGTACGTGTGCAGAAACCTCTTTCGAGGAAATTCTGGAAAATTTTTACGTCAAATGTAACAGATTTTACGAAACGACCTAATAACTGTAGCAACTGTTTTAGTGCGCTTGAGGTGTCAACCAAAACGGCGCGAGAAAACTTGCCGTTGAGCGCATATTTTGATTTTTGAGCCCCATAGACATTTTTTACGTTGACATTCCGAGGACACTGCATAATTCAATAACTATTCATCAGATCTACTGAAGGATAGTTTGATCGCTGAAATTGCGCCAAAAATTCAGTATAAACTGACCAAGCA